TAATTAATTTTCTTAGCATTTACAAACTAAGTGATACATGGGTAGATATGAAAACAGATTCTGGGGACACAATTAAATAGATGATAGAAGCTACACAGGCATACCCCAACGATATTGCAGGTTCAATTCCAGACCACCTCAATAAAGCACATATTGCAATAAAATGAGCCACGTGATTTTTTGTTTCTAAGTGCATATAAAATTTATGTTTACACTACACTGTAGTCTATTTAGCTTGCTATAGCATTATATCTAAAAAAGCAATACACATACCTTAATTAAAAATACTTTAATAAGTGTTAGCCATCATCTGCGCCTTCAGGAAGTCACAATGCTTTTTACTGGTGGAGGGTCTTGCCTCCATGCTGACAGATCAGGCTGGCAGTGGCGGAAAGTTGGGATGTCTGCGGCAATTTCTTAAAATAACAATAAATAACAATTGATAGTAAAATACTGATTGATTCCTCCTTTCACTTGAACACTTAGAGGCCATTGTAGGGCAATCGATTGGTCTAATTTAAATAGTGTTGTGTCTCAGGGAATAGGGAGGCCCAAGAAAAGAAAGGGAGATGGGGGACAGTCAGTCACACAGCATCTGTGAATCAGGTTTTCATCTCGTGTGGGCGGGGTTTGTGGCACCCCGAAGCAATTACAATAGTAACATCAAAGATCACAGGTCACCATAACAAATACAATAATAGTGAAAAAATGTGAAATATTGAGAGAATTATCAAAATGTGACAGAGGGACACAACATGGAAAAATGGTGCTGGTAGATTTGCTGGAGACAGGGTTGCCACAAACTTTCAATGTGTAAACAAAAAACTCAGTATCTGCAAAGTACAGTAAAGTGAAGCGCAATAAAATGAGATATGCCTGCATATAGAAACTTCCAAACAAATTATGCAAATTCATGGTTTTTTTTTTTTCTTTCTGAGAAATAGCATACTCACAAGGTCAGATACTCTTTTGTGAGAGGAATGACTCTTTCAAAGTCGCTGGCATTGACTGGCTTTTGAAGGATGAACACTATTCACACAGAGTGAGAAGAGAGAGAAAACTCTTCAAATAGAATATTTAAAGTAACATTCCTGGAAGGCAAAGTGCACAGGGTATCGTTGTGAAGCACTGGGTAGATCCATTTTGCTTGAGCAGACATTTTTAAAAGAGAAGAAGATAAACCTGGGAAAACATATAACCATCACAACTGAAATAGTGCAACACAAATAATTAGAGTAATTACAGACGTTCAGTATTTTGAAGCAATGCAAGATGAAGATAGGTGTAAGTGGCATCATGAGTGAAACATCATAATTAACGTGAGTGTGCACTGAAACGCTCACAAAAGTTTCAGAAAGAGATAGTATTTGAATGGACATGGTCACATGCCAGGTTGGTCCAATATCAGAGGGAATTATTGAGAATTAGGTAAAAGATGGGCAAAGCTCTGTCTGCTGTTTAGTTCTCCCCACAAGCCTGTGCTGTACCACAGTACTCCACTGAATCTGGGCTTTCCGAGGACCCTAGAGCTAAGGTTGCTTCTGGTCTTCATACATTCCTATTCTTTTGAACCCAACTTGGCTGCTAGCTACATTATGTTTATATAAACAAAGTGTTTTACTTGAGGGTATTAATTAGCTATGTCGCCGTTGAACAGCACCCTGCAGGTTTGCAAGCCCTGCTCCAAGACCTAAGAGCCCAGAGTCAGCAACAGAGACAATCAACAGTTTAGTGGATAGGGTGATCTTACACATCTGAAGCAAGGTCCTGGAGCAACATCCCGCCGTGTGGGGGGGACGGAGGGCAGAACGTGGTGGCAGTCTTTGCTCCTGGGAGGGGAAGAAGTTACCAGTTACAGGGGACTTGATGTCAGGTCGACTCATCGGTTACCAGGGTAATCAGCAGAGAGTCGTGTCCTTCACCACCCCTTTGATAAGCGCGGTGGAGAGTTCTGATCTAAATCTAGAACAGTCATTAGCTGGGGCCTGGGGCAATTATGAAGGAAGATCAGTCACATGGGTCAGGTGTAGGTGAAGCAGGCACCAGTCAAGCAGGAGATGGACAGAGAGCAAGAGAGAGACATCTTGAGTGGCCTGGTCATGTAGTCATCATCAAAGGTACATGTTATTTATTGACTGAAACAGAAGAATCATGGGGTGACATCGGTGACATTGGAATTCCCATGTTCTTTTAAGGTTATAATTGCTTATTCTCACTGTATGGGCAGAACCCTTGTCCAAAGATGCCTGTTGAAATTGAGGTTTCAGGGAAGCGTCTTCCAGGATAATGTTCCTTGTATACAGGAGGTGGAACTAAAAATTAAGAAAACAGTTAAAGTATTGCAAAACTAGACAAAATGATGACAAAGGGATGGATATTCATTCAGAGCAGAACATGTGAAATGAGAGAAGAGCATGGCAATCTGGTAGTGGGCACTTAGAATAGCCAAAGTCAGCAGACAACAGTTGGGATGTGAACATTTCACTTTTCAGCAGTAGGAGATCGCCAAAAAAGGAATCCTAAAGTTGGCTCGGAATGCGTGTCATCATCCTAAACAGTGTGAAGTCCTGTGACGAGGTAGGTCGCGTTCTCTGGCGAGGGGGGTGGTTAAGCTGTAATGACAGCCCCACAGCCAGCACAGTGTCAGGAGCCAGTCCTACTGCGCTGCTGTTGAGAAGGACAGCGGGATGGAGGTGGGCTTCCACTTCCAAGTTCTTTCAATGTGCTGATTCCTCAAGCCAGTGCATACGTGTCCTGGGCAACTGAAAAGAAGAATGAAGAAAGGCATCAAAACCCTTTAAAACTGCTCTCAAAGAACAAGATAACAGTTACTTTTACATGTGACTGACTACAATTCAGTCACTAAATCTAGCTGCAAAGCACGCTGGGAAATGTTCCCAGATAAGCACAAGTATCATTTCTACCCAGGAAAGGAGCGGTGGACATCAAGTGATAGATAACTGGCAGTCTCTTTCACATCTGCTTTAATAAAGAGTCAGTGTAAATCCTCTTAAAAACCTGTAGTTTTATGACTCTCAACCCTTGTCTCACAGTAAAGAAAAATGAGTTTCAGAACCGAGCGTAGGCATTTGTGTCCTGCCTTCCTCTGCTCTCACGTCACTTGCTCTCAGTAAGTCAGCTGCTCACTCAGAGGAGAAAATATTTCTCAGATGCCAAAAGCAAAGTTGATCTATTGTGAAAGAGTTGGAGTGTGTTCTGAAGAAACTTTAGACACTGCTCAGTCCTCGACACTGAAGGCCCTCGGGATGTTATGTGATTGTTATAATTATTTTTCATTCCTTTGAGGCTGTGCTTAGAGCATGGGACAGGTAGCTGTATTTTAATTTTAAATATATTTGGATGATGCTCTTCATTGAATAAATGTTGATTTGACTTAATACATATCAAGATCTCTGTTAGTCCTGATAATTCCTTTAGGAAAGAACAAAATATAGATGAAATTATGACATGTTTCAGACCCCCAGATGCCCATAGTAAAATCAAAAGATGACAAGTACTTCAACAACCAGCATGAACAGTTTCACCACACAAACACATGCCACATACAGTATATGTTATGTTATACATGCCGCATCATATATGCTATATATAATGTTATATTCTATTATACTATACTATACACTTTAGTGTAGAGATGAGTAATGCATTCTTCCCATTTTCCAGGAGATAAATCCTTAGTAACTTGCATTTAAAGTGAAAACAGAGGGAAACGTCTCCACCTTTTTTGGGAAAGAGACAAGTTGTAAATATACTCAATCAATAAAACAAGTGAGTTGAGGGTACTTCCTCTTTCATGTGTTCCTCAATACATGTACTTACGGGCAGAAGCATACCTGAGCATTTTGATCACTAACATGCACACATAAAGAAGATGCTGGGTGGAGATGAGGGTTTCCATAGGAAACTCCACAGCATGCTCAGCTGGAGAATTCTGCCACTGGGTAGAATGGCAGATTCAGAGTAAATGTCTAAGCACAGCACTAAGAAGATTTGTTTCCCTTTCGTACACAAAACACTGAGGTGATGCT